TGTTCACAGTGCACAACCATTGAAACAAGTTGAAAAAAGTATTTTTCCTATAAATGAAATGTTACAGCTTGACAATAACATTGGTCCTTTTAAAAACCTGTTTCTTTGATAACTTTCAACAAAGTAGGTTGGATAGTTAAAAGAATTATACATATGACTAAGATATGAATGGTTGCAGCTAAGGCCCTTGCCCTGCAAATGTTTATATCACATATTTAGTCCCATCATTGGGACCATTGCGTGAATAAGGGTTTGCTGGATCACATTCTGGTTTGGGTCTTTTGTTCCTTTTCTTTTTTGTCAAGATGACGTATTGTAGATGTTTAACTTTATGAAGGAAACATAGTGCTTCTGCGTAATAAATATTTTGAAATAACTGATGATGAAATGAGGAAGGTAAGCAGAAGTCAACAAGGCATGCAGGCTTCAAAACTAAACAATATCTCAACAACAACAATAATAAAAGGAAGCCTGTGCAGTGGAACAAGGTGTCACAGGGTTAAATATTTGGGCTAGATTTAAAAAGAGGCTGAATAACATTATCACAAATAACAACATTTATTGTTATTCATGCTAAGGAAGGATAATTGGCTGTCATGGTTCTGGGTAAGGTAATCTCTGCTGCTATAAAAATATTTGTTTAATGTAAATGTATATATGATTTAAACCTGTCTATGTCTCTATGTACTTTTTCTGATGGAAAGCACCTATGACATTATGGGAAATACTGAAATAATAATAATAATAATAATTAATAATAATTAATAGGCAGGGAGGCCTTTCCCCCTACACATACAGCATTGCTCAATTGTCTAGAGCAATTTTTATTTTTGACTTCCTCTTAAGTAATAGGTTTCCAGACTAGATGATGGATAGTTGCTGTGATTTTCGTTAGGCAAATCCTATGTTCTTATACTCAGTTACATTTTAACAAAAACAAGAAGGAAAATTAGATCTCTTAGTAGCCAGCTTCTCTACTCAGTGGTGACAGGCTTTAGTTTTTGAATGTCTTTTTAATCTAATAGAAATAAAGATAGGTATACATATAGTTTTGCCACTAAAAAGTCAACATCTATCAAGAGCTACCAACCACAATGTGGTACTTGAGATATTGTATTTATCTGCTGTTCTAAGAGCAAAAACTAGAAGTACCAGATTATATAAAAATGCTGGTGTTAAGTCATAGCAAGCATATACTAGAGAGATACAGATCTTAAATAAAATGTTTAAAGGCTCAATCGTTCTCTGAAAATTTAAAAACCATCATCATTCTTCCATTTTATTCATGGTATTCACCCTTTTGTGCATAGAGTTGCTGTGGTATTTGAATTGACAAATGGATGTTTTGCAGAAGAGAAAAGGTGACTTTTCAAAGTGACTTATTAGCTTAGATGCAGGATCTGTATTACCACAGTGGTATAGCTTGGTATATACAATACAGTACTGTGCACTTTATGTAAAATATGAAATTCTGGTTTATATTACATTTTATATTTTTCAGAGTTGAGCCTAAGCCACAAGCTTCAGATCTAGACTTTGAATCTCCAGCCCCAAAATCTGAAGGCTGTCAATCCAGGGTTTTGTTTCACTTCAGTATAGAGAGACGGGGCATCTTTAGCTCGGTATTACACTGTACCACCATTCTGGGTCAGTACTGACTCACTGAGACTGAGGAATAAATACATGCTACTACTTCTTGCTGACACAGGAATGCATCAACACCGCTTCCTGAAGCACTTGGATTTCCTAGGAAGTTGTCTATCAAAATACTATACTGACCATGTCCAAACAGCAGAATTTATGAGAAAGAGGAAAGATGGTCTTAGAGTCAAGGCACTACACTAGGACTCAAAAGATCTAGGTTTTGGTCCCAGCGATGCTGCAGATATCGTATGTGACCTTGACCAAGACACTTGGGCCATACATTTTCAAAAATGGCCATATATTTTGTGTCCTCAATGCAACATACATTGGGCCTCATATTCAAAACTGCTGAGTACCCAAACATGAGCTGACTTCATTTGGAACTGTGGATATTCAGTATCTCTGAAAATCAGGCCAAAAATGTCATAGTTGGTGTTCAGAAATTGATGCACGCAAAATAGTGACCACTTTTAAAAATACAGACCTTTATCTTTCTGTCCCTAAATTCCCCATCTGTAAAATGGAGTTAATTCCACCTCTGTACTTCGCAAAGGTGCTGAAAGGTTAACTTTATTAAGCTTTATGCTTAAGTTTTCAGATTGTATGGTGATGAGCACCCAGGGCCAGCTCTAAGTTTTTTGCTGCCCCAAGCAAAACATTTTTCCCGCGCTCCCCTGGCCCCGTCCCAACTCCGCCCCTTCCCCAAATCCCCAGCCCCACCTCCTCCCCCGGGTGCGGCGCATTTTTCCTCCTACCCCTCCTTCCCAGGCTTGCCTGGGAGGGAGGGGGGAGAAGCAGAGTGGCGGCGCGCTTGGGGGAGGAGGCGGAGGTGAGCTGGGGGGGAGGGAGCGGTTCCTCTGCCCCCCAGGGTTACTTCCTGCGGCCCTCCCCGCACCCCCCACCGCCGCAGCTCACCTCCGCTCAGGGCCGGCTCCCAGCTTTTTGCGCCCCAAGCAAAAAAAAACGGGGCCGGAGTGCCGCCCCTTGGAAAGTGTTGCCCCAAGCACATGCTGGTGCCTAGAGCCGTCCCTGTGAGCACCACAAAACCCCCCAATCAATAAACAAACAAACAAACAAACAAACAAACAACTAACCTAACTAAGTAAAATACTAGATGTATAGAGTACAGCCAAAAGTGCTACAGGCATTATCCTAATAACTTTCCTGTCATATTGGCAAATTTACATTTCTTGAGTAGTGTAATATTCCTACTAATGCCTCTAGGAAAAATATGATTCAACTCACTAACTAACTAATTGCAATTTTTCAGAATCACTCTGATTTTCCATAAATATTTTAACTTCAAGCATCCATCCCTGTTTGGTTTATAAAATTCTTTATTTAGGTAATAATTTTCAATCAACTTTTTTTCTTTTGTATACAGTTTTATTTGTTTGTCCAAGACTTTGCTCCAGGAATTCTGGAAACCATTCAAATGCGAAGCTGATGCAAGTAGTGTCTTATTATCCATATTTTATAAACACATTTGCATTTGGAACTTCTCATTTAAAGACACCATCATTTACACATATAAAATGTTATTGTTTTAAGTGGAGCTTTCAGTTTTGGAACAGAAACAAACATTTCAATTAAAAATTAAAGAATAGAAAAGGTAACAGGAGAAGTGGACTAGTAAATGAAATGATGTTAACTGCAGTTAAGAAGGGAGACCACTCCGTCCTAAAATTATGTGTAAAGGGCATGGGTTTTTTTGTGATAACAGTCATCTATGGAGAAGAACATAAAGAACTGCCTGGGATATTGTAGGAAACAATTCTACACTAATGGACTACAGCAGTGGTTGCCAAGATGTGGTCTGTGAATTAACAGTGCTCTGCAAAACTCTTAGTGGTGGTCCATGGAGTAAAGTAGTTTGACAATCCAGCCTTTAAAGAGATATTAGTGATTATGAGGTGGGTCCATGGGAGAAAGATCTCGCTATTACAAAATGGTCTGCTAGATGCTCAGATTAGACAGACTAATACATTTTCTTCAGCTCTAATTTCTTTTTTTAGAAAATTATTGGAAGTCAATAAACAGTGAATAAACAAGAAAGAGTAGACAGTAACTTACATGGTGCAAGCAGAGGACCCAATGAATTATCCAAAGCCAACTTTCAAATCAGTTTGTTCAAGAACAACATAAGGGTGAAACTACACCAGCAGCGTGGTCTAGTAGAGTGGGCAATGAGCTGAATGTCAGGAGATTTGGGTTATATCCCCGACTCTGCTGTAAACTAGCTGTGACTATGGGCAAGTCACTTCAGCGCTATTTTCCCTCCTACCCTTTGTCTGTTTAGACTGTAAGCTCTTTGGGGGCAGAGACTTTCTCATACTATATGCCTGAATAGCACCTAGTGTGATGAGGCCCCAGGCTTGGTTAGTGCCTCATAGTATTGTAATACAAATAATAGAAGGGACACAGGTCAAAGCATCTGCTCGTATGATTCTGTGATTAAAAGTGTGGGGGGGGGGTAAGGGGAAGCAGCCTATATGCGCCAATATTTGGGGGAGTGTAATTAAGAATTAATGAATCAGCAAAAATACATTAAAAATACCTCTTAATCTACACAGGAAGTAAGAGAATTGTGATAATTTATTTCCAGTATGGACATTTCGGCCGCTATTCTGTTGTGCATAAATAAAACATCGAGATAAAAATGTCATGTCTTGTAACGTCTAAATCGACAATGTTAGGGTGAATTTAAGTTAAAAAACAAGAAATATGACTGTCATCCAACTGGAGATTAAAGACAATACTGTAATTGAGGTGAGCGAGTTACCCTCCTTAGCTGCACATGCACTCATGAATTAAGGCACGTTTGAAAGTACCCCTCTGTCCAATGAATTCCTGGAACTCTCCACTAATTCCTTATGTTGAGGCTTCTGCTTTGTAATCCTCTGTATAAGGTGTACTAAATAATCATGGGATCTGAAGTAGTTGCCCTTGCCTGGATCCTCCATCTGGAAGATGGAAGCGCTACAATGATAACAACTACAAATGGTACTTAGCATAGGGATGATGATAATTTAATGTTATTTTGATTTTATTCATTCACTGTGGCAGTTCCTAAGTGTTTGTGATACAAATGCCATTGCTCTCAGCCTAAAAAAAATTACAGTGCAATTGAATCACTAAACTATATTTTGGTAATGTGTTGTCAGATGAATTAAAAAACGATTCTTACACTGTAGCACTGAGCTATCACACACAAACTTGAATATGACACGTTAAAAGAAAGAGGTCAAGAAATTCTGTTCAAAACACAAGGAGAGCATTGTTCTCACCTTCTTCATCCAGCTATAAAATGTAAAAAAACATAAAGAAAATATTTAGATTGTTTAGAAAGAACATACCTATTAGCTCCTTATTTCTGACATCTAAGGCCATGTTTCGTAAAGCTGTAGCAACTGCACATACCACCCGGTCATTGTCTATTCGAAGTAGCTCCACCAGGATCGGCAGGCCTTTTTCTTTGCGGACGGCAGCACGGATATACACTGACCACTGTAAAGAGATATTGCATGAGGGAGATTGAAAAAGAGATTGTGGAATGCTGTCAAGAAAAGGAGGGATGTGTGATTATGAAGATTTCTATCTTGAGGAGTAAAGGAAGAGAGTTAGGAGTAATGGCTGTAGAATCTAAAGACAGGAAATTATTGTATCTATGATGCTAGACAACACTTGAACTGGAAACCCATATTGATTTTTGATTGGTGACAGAAAAATTTAATGATTTAAACTTTAAATTTAATTATTTAAACTTTAAATCCTTGTATACCTAGTTACTGCTTTACTGTCTGAGTTGCAAGCCATTTGCTTGGCATCAGTATGCCCTGGCCAAACTTGAACAATGGTTGTTTGTTCCTAATGCCATTTAATGTTACAAAATTTGTTTAAGAAGTTAGCATGCTTCCTGGCTATCAACTTGAGGAATGTTAGACCCCAACCCAAGAAGGCACTTCATTATTTCTTTCATGATAGGCAATTTGCTAAGGAGAGGAAGTGAGGAGGGAGTTACACTACTGCTTTTATTGTTAAAACACATCAGCCCAATCCTACAGTGCCTGTGTGTGCAAAATTCACACTGATTTCAATGTGCTGAGTTATGTATATGTAGGGACCACAGGATCAGCCTTGTTATTAGAAATATGACTCAACCAGGAAGGATCTAGGATTTTGCTTTGAGCCCATCTAGTTCACAAGATGCTGAAAGTTACATTATTTTACCGGACTTACAGTATGGATGAGCCAATTAATTCGATTTTATGAGCGCCAGACATAGTCTTGGAAGGTGAACAGTTTTATAAAAAGCTTGACATACCCAGGCCCCTAGCAACAAGACAGAATGTGATGACAGAGTGCGTGAAGCAGAATGATATCAGTGAGAGACAATCTCAGGAAAAGGCTATTTGGTTTTGACGGAACAAGTTGCATTTTTCTATGTGAAATGGTTGTGTGGGATATTTGAGGGGTGTGAATCTGCTGTCTGCATACATGCAGTGCTTTAAGTCCTAATAGCTCTCTGGCTGTGTGCCTAATTCTAGAGTGATAAGAACTGTATTTAAGATATATACTGATGAAATAAGTGAGATCAGACCCTTTCCTTTTGTATATATTTGGTTACATGATTGTTAAAGTTCTTAAGCCAAGTGTTGAGAACACCTGCTGAGCAGTCACAACTACTACTGAAATCATCTGAATCCAGTGGAGGCTGCAGATGCCTAGAACCTCTCAGGTTTTAGCTTTTTTAGTTTAACAGTGAGAGGTAATTCTGGGTTTTGTTCTTTGAGGACACTGTTATACTCCATATCAATTTAGTTATCCAAGAAAATAATGCACTTTATGCAAATATCCATGTGTGACTCCAGGTTGCGATTCACTCTGGCAGCAGTGTATGGTGACAGAGTTAAGAACTGGAGTGCACTGTGAGAAGGAATTCAAGACGAAAAAGTTCACAGAGGGGTTTTTTTTTTCTGTTTTATAAACAGCTTCCAAATTTCCCTAGTACTTTCCATGCTGCTCCTTCTGGTTATCCATTATAGTGTCACTGCTCCATTAATCAATGAAATCAATAGAAAGTTAGGGTATAGTGTAACTAGTTGTAGCTGAAGATAAAGCAGTAATAGGAATATTAAGGAATACAAATTAGGCAAAAATGCAATCCAATGCTTTTGCTTTGTTTTTGGAATAACAAACATGTTCAATAGATGGCAGTATATATACTGTGGCTAATGTACAGTATAGAGGGTTGCTCATGGGCGGCAGGTGAACCGCTGGCTCAGGGAAGCTAGCCCTCAGCTCCGCCCCTTCCACCCGAGGCTCTGCCCCTTCCATGCCCCCCTCACGCCCAGAGCCACCTTACTGTGGCCGCTGGCTCCTGCCCAGGCTAGCACCCTCAGCCTCCCTCCCCCATCCCCGGAGTGCCGGGAGGCCTAGCAGCGCAGCCCCAGCCCCAGAGCGCCAGGAGGCCAGGCAATGTGGCCTCAAGCCCCTCCCACAGCCCAAAGTGCCAGGAGGCCAGGCAGCGCAGCCCAAGGCCCCCTTCTCCCTCCCCCCCGGCCCGAAGCACCGGGAGGCCCAGCAGCATGATCCCAGCCTCCCCGGCCCGTGAGCGCCGGGAGGGTGGACAGCGCGGACCCAGTGCCAGCCCCAGCTGGGGCCATGTCACAGGGGAAGAACTGCCCACTGCTGCCTGCAGAGTGGGAAGCAGGAGGGTGACTAGGGCAGAATGTGGCCGGGACCACACCTGGCTATTTGGGGAGGCTCAGCCTCCCCCAGGCTATGATACCCACTGCCCATGGGTTTGCTGAATACTTCTGTCCCTTTGACAGAATAAGAAAAAGTTGTATATCTGTTTTTCTCCTGAATCACACCAGTTGCCTCTAGTGCATATTGTGGGGTAAACATATGTGCTTGATTTCACAGTGCATTGACTTCATTGAAGTTGCAGAGATGTAACCAAAGGCAAAATCTGACGCATATGTTTAATATGCTTTGAGTAGTCCCAAATCCTCCATGTTTGGCTAACCAGGAGATTGTGATTTTTCCCTTTGAGATGAGGAACTAGCTACTCTTATCCACAATTTCCTTGCCTATAAGTTAGACTACAGCAGCACACTTGACCTGGGGCTGCCTGTATAAACTATGTGACAGCTTCATCAGACACAACACACAGCTGCCCACTTTCCAGGCAAGAAAGATTACTAAGCACATCTCATCTATGTTCTGTGCTCTCCATTGACTCTCCATTCATTTGCACATTCACTTCAAGGTCCTGGTCCTAATATTTAAAGCAATTAATGGGCTAGGGTCTATCTAAATGATTGCCTCTCTCTGCTCTCCCCACTGCAACATCGAGGCTCAATATGGATGTTGTTGCTGCAAGAGCCCAGGGAGGGACTCCTGGGAGCTGGGGGCAGGGCTTCTTGATGGAGAGCCCTCAGCTATGGAACTCTTTATAGCAGTGGAGATTAGAATGCACCCCAGCGTTGCCATTTTCAGGTCACGCTACAAGCCATACCTTTTTGCACACACCAATAACAATTGTGGTGGAAAATGCTCAAAAATATTTGTCATGAAACCAAAAGTAAGTAAAGGGAAAACAAATGCCATTAAATAAAAGTGGTTTAAACTGAAGAGGGTTTGATAGGAATGTCCTTTGTGGATGGATTGATAATTGGTTTAAAGTCTGCGTATGGCACCTAGATATCACAGTGACAGGCACATTTTACATGCCGTCATCTTATGTGACACAGACATAATAAAAGTATTAATAGATAGGCAAGTATATAGACATACAAGGATTTCACTATTGCAATTTTATGAACCCACATTTATTCCAGAGTCTGTCACCTGGGGGGAAATAGGGGAAAGGGAAAGAAAACAGCATATACAGAATGTTAGTCTATGACTTGCCTTTCTAATAACTCTATAACCTCACCCCCCACGAACCCACCCCAGGGAACTGCCACATACTTCCCAAGATACACTCACAAGGGAACCCATGCAGATCCATCATATCTGGCTATGGCACTCTTACTGAAGGAATATCGAGATTCATAGAAACTATTCTCAAACCACTCACCACACAGAGGGCCCGCTTCCTCCAGGACACAACCAACTTCCTCCACAAATGCCTCAACATTAACAACCTCCCTCAGAATACCATTCTTGCCACCAGGGATGTCGCCTCCCTACACACCAACATCCCTCACAATGACGGCATCCCTACCTGCCTTAAATATCTACAAGACAATGGACAACCCTCAAACACATCACCAAACTCATCCATTTCAGTCTCACTCATAACCAATTTACATTCAACAACAAACACTTTGTCCAAGCCATGGGAACAGCCCTGGGTATTAGGGTGGTTCTCCAATATGCCAACCTCCTGGACCACCTTGAAGAAAACATTCCGGATAAGTGCAACACAAAACCAGTGATATACCTGAGATACATCAATGATATTGTCATCCTCTGAACAGACGACTTAAACTCCCACATAGATTTCCACCACAACTTCCACATCCCCTACCTGTCCATTCAACTCTCTCTGGAACACTCCCACACTAGCATCAACTTCTTGGACACCACAATCAGCTTCAACACCCTTCAGACGACTATATATAAGAAACCCATGGATCACCACACCTACCTTCATAGATCAATAACCACCCCAAGACATCTTTTATCTATAGCCAGGCACTCAGATACCACAGAACATGCTGCGAGGATATACACCTTAATACTCACAAAATTGCCTTTGTCAAACAAGGACACTTCACCAGAGAAGTAGATTGCATCATGGAACTGGCCACCCAAATAGCCTGAGAGAATTGCTTCAATACAGAAATAAAACCTCCTCCGACTGCACACCCACAGTTGTTATCTACCACCCCCCACTGGGACCCATATGAAGAATCATCAAACAACTACAAACCATTTTCTATGCGGACCCTGTCCTGAAAGAAATCTTTCATGAACCCCCCTCTTCCAGCCTTCAAACAACCCCCCAACCTCTCCAAGCTCATCATCAGAAGTAAGCTCCCCACAGACCAGGGCACACCAACTCAAAGCAGCACAGACTCTGCCAGAATAACAGATGTAAAGCCTGCAGACATATCTCCACTGCTACAATGATCAACACCCTCCATGACACACCTATCAAGACCCATGGGTCCTACATATGCCTATCACAACGTGTGGTGTACCTCATCCAGTGCACTAAATGCCCCAGTAGAACTTATATGGGTGAAACCAGACAATCACTATGCTCTCAAATGAACTCACACATGAAAATGATAAAAAAAACCAAAACATCCTATCACCTCTGGGTGAACACTTTTCACAAAGCTATCACTCTATATCTGACCTATCAGTCCTCATCCTTATAGGAAAGCTGCGCAACACTGTCAAAAGATGAGGCTGGGAGCTTAAATTCATAACTTTGTTAGACACTAAAAATCATGCTTTTAATAAAGACCCTGGATTTATGGCTTATTACAACAATCTGTAACCCACTAACCCCCGCCTCCTCACTTTTTGTACTATGACTACAGGGGTGTTAATGGGCAACTTCATCTTGAACGATCCCTTTAAAATATGTGCTAATCACTTTTGCTAAACTATTTGTTCGATCTTGTATTTACCCGTGACACTCTCAATACTGAAGAAAAGTTCTGTGTAGCTTGAAAGCTTGTCTCTCTCCCCAACAGAAATTGGTCCAATAAAACCTATTACCTCACCCACCTTGTCTACTGAATAACAAAATTCAGTTAAGCTGGGCAAAGGTATTGAGAGTGTCACGGGTAAATACAAGATCGAACAAATAGTTTAGCAAAGGATTCTTGCTACATCTTACTTTATTCTTTCCTTCCTCTGTTCTGTTCTCTAGAAGCACGTTGTGGGATAATACTTAATGAACATTCACCAGCTGAGAAATCAAAACTCAATCTCAAGGATCAGTAACTTTCAATTAAAAATATGTCCTAGAAAAATAACCTCTTTCCTAAAATCAGGGCAACGTTTTGTTTTAAAAGAGTATTAAATATGAGATGTTGTGAATACCCCAAATTGACACTTCTAAATTTACTTCTCTAATAGCCAGGTATTTACCTGTCAGATTAATGCACTGTCAGCTGCAGCTGTAAGAAGAAAAAATTATAGCTCCTTGATGCTTACAAAACTCCCAGCTCTGTATTTCCTATGCATCTCCCAGGGGATGTATCCAATGTGTCTGCTACTATTAAGTGGTGACTGTCAGAGTGAGAGTGCAAGTTAGCAGGGAGACTATTTTAGACTGTGGTGAGACTGTTTGGTTGAGGTGAAAACAGAGGCTGCTCAAAACAATCTGCCGCCCTAGGCAAAACTGCAGTGTGCCACCCCCTCCAGCCCCATTAGATGCTCACAGCAGACCCCCAGCACCTCCCCTGCGGCTACCGCCACTGCCACCCCACCCCTAAACCTTGTGCAGCCAGGTGGAAAGCTGATGGGTCAGACCCCAGCCTGGGACTGCAGAGGTCATTGGGTCCCGATGAGAGACCCCACGGGATGGGAATGGTCCGACACCTAGGCAGGATGAGCTGGGCCAGGCCAGGAGGAAAGTCCCTCCAGCCTCGGTCCTAGGCCGTTCAAGTGGTCAAGACCAGCTCCCTGGGTAGGTGATCCCCCAGCAGGAGTTGCCTTTCCCAATGGCCCTTTCCAGGCAGGTTAGCACCAGCTGCTTGGAGCTCACAAGGGGAACGAGACCCAGCTCAGCACCCCTGGACTACAGCGGCTTTTTCCCCGGGAGTCACAGCCACTCAGCTCAACCACAGTGGGACCCGGGCACTAGCAGGTGGCAGCTCTCAGCCCACTGGGCTCCAGTTATTGGGAAGCAAAGACCCCGCCTTACACGAAACCACCCAGACTGGGAGTGCTGATGCCCCAACAAAGGGACCAGCAGGCTCCATCCCACTGGACAGAGCGGGGGTCTTCACACCTCAGCCCTGAAACCCTGGCCCCAGCCAGCCCCCCAGCACATGGTGGCAGTGTGTCCAAAGTCTGCACATGGCAGAGTTGGAATTGGTGGTTGCAGCAGGGTGCTGACTTGGAGTTGGTGGGTTGCTGCGTTTGTGGCCCAAACCCCAGCAGTGCTCACGGTGCCAGTAGCAGCCCCAAGCCGCTCTGTGCCTGAGCCACACTGTGCCAGGGTGGGGAGCAGCGGGGGTGCTTCCCCACCAGCGGGCTTCCTCTTGCTCCTCAGAGCCCTGGCTGGTGGCTAACCCCTGACCCTGGCAGCACCCCCAGCCTCTTCCCCCTCTGCAGCCACCCCATATTTGGAACTGGAGTGAATCTAAACTCCCAGAAATCTGCCTCCCTCGGCAGCTGCCTTGGCTGCCTATAACTGGAGCAGCCTGTGGGTAAGAGTTCAAGCCAGTAGATTGTACATCCAGGAACATCGCTTGGCTCAGTAAGGACACCTTGCCCAGGTCTCTTGCTTTGAATAAGGATTGCCTCGATTTTTACAAAAGAGTGTATGTTAAGTAATGACAATGGGGATGTACAATCATGGTATCAATTCCCATTGTATTGTGAACACCCCTACAAAACGTACCATACTATACTGACTGTAAACAAAAGTGGTTCTTGGCATTTCCAGTTGTCTATTGGAAATCATAAGCATTTCTTTCAGGAGACCTAACGTTGCACTAGCTTCTTGCTTATCATTTAGAAGAAATAGGGACATCTGAAGAACAAAATGGAGACACACTTTTTAACTCCACTGAAAGCAAAGACATTGAACTAGGAACATGCTGGAGCAACAGAGTATGAAAAATAACATTTTCCTCCTCAATAGGGCTTTTCTGCAGCTAAGGCACCCATTAATTAGCATAGCATAAATATTGCAGGTAAAATGCTTTTTAAAGGATCAGTTTTGCTCTATGTTCATTTTTCCTGAGTTAACTACCTCTGCAGCACTGCAGTATAACTCATCCTGCTTTAGGGAAGTTGACAGACTTATTTTTGTGATGTAGCCACTATCATTACATCCATGTTTATAAGTTATACACCTTAGGGTGGAAACCTGGGGTTGTCTATTAATCTTATGAGCAATCTCTGGAGACCTAAATATGAAGCTGCATTTAGAAAGCAGTGAGAAATATCTGTCTCTCTTTAGCTAAACTGCCAATTAGGACAAAGTGTCTGCAAGCAATGATGATGTGATGTGTATATTTCAGGAATAGTGAAATTGAGATGCTCCAAACTGCTTTTTTATTCTCTCCCAGACTTGAGAAATGGAATCACTCTTGCATGTACTGACAATTCTTTTAGTTTGCCTAAAGCCATTATGAAACATTCCTGCATTTCCACATTGCTGGTCAATAGCTAGTATGAGTGTAAAGAAGTATAAAAGATATGAACATAAAAATGTGGAAAGAGACAAATGATTTGTTGTCTCTTTGTAAATGAGAAGCTCTGCCAATATACTTAATCATCCAATTACTTCATAAATCAGTTGTAATATCAATGATCAAATAATTGCTCAGCTTGTAAAGAGAAAAGACTCCTGTGGGAACAGTATAGCTTTGGAGAGAGCTAGAATAAAAAAAATCTATTTCTGTTGAATCAGATGGCAGCTAAATTTTCAAAGACATGCATGGGAGTCACAATTTGTGCAGCAATGCTCTTTACAGATAATGGAATTTGTGGGGCATGACTACTATACATCACTCCAAAGATGTACAGTACATCTCTACTTCCACTTTTATTCATAGTTTCTGTTTTTATTTTAGTCACAGTAACTAAGGGCTGGTCTACACTAGGTGGGGGGATCGATCTAAGATACGCAACTTCAGCTACGTGAATAGCGTAGCTGAAGTCAAAGTATCTTAGATCGATTTACCTTGGGTCCTCACGGCGCGCGATTAACAGCCGAGGCTCCCCTGTCGACTCCGCTACCACCGCTCGCTCCGGTGGAGTTCCGGAGTCGACGGGGAGCAGGTTCGGGGATCAATTTATCGTGTCTTAACGAGACGCGATATATCGATACCCGATAAATCGATTGCTACCCGCCGATACGGTGGGTAGTCTGGACATACCCTAAGAAGAAAAATACAGTAATCTGGAAAATTATTCCTTAGTTTGGCACAGTTATTGTTACAAAGCACCCTTTCCAGTACTTTATGCCTCATGGAATTGAGATCAAATTAGGCTGAAACTCAGTGTAAAAATGATCCATTCAGAGGAAGATTGTTTCTTTTTAAAAAATTTTGAAAGATTAAATTACTGTCCTCCTTTTACCATTTTTTGTGGTTTTCTATATTCTTCTGCTAAACACAAAGTAAGGAAGAATTTCCCCCCCACAATGAAATTATGCATTCAGCACAAAATGGAAAATTTTGGAATGCCAAAAACTAAACAAAGCTGATGTTTTTAATTGAGACCTTCTCACCTCCCAACCTGTATCAGGGTTCTATGGTGCGTGCGCGCGCGCACACACACACACACACACACACACAACTGAATTCAAATACTCATCAATTTCAGCTGGAGTTTGCATCCTAAGCATAAAGTATATTTCATCCCTCAAAGGATCTGTGAACTCTCTGAAGGGTAAGGGGAAGATCTGAGATGTAAGCTACCACAGAGGTAATCAAAGCCACATTGAGGCAGGGAATGAAACTGCAGGTTGTGGGACCAGTGATCCTTACTGCTCTGTAGGCAACATCATTTAAAAGGTAATGCAAACAACCCAAAAGTAGAAAAAGAAAGGGTTTTATTCACTACAAATAAAGAGAATAGCCTGTTCTTAAAATCTCGGGTCTATTTTTTAACCCACATATCTCCATTGGTGCACCTGTGCAATCACTTTAATTGACATAAAGCATGGTTCGCCAAACTTTTCAAGCTACTGAACACTTCATAAGAGAGAGAGTGAGCCTCTCATGGACACTCCACTCCCTATCATTTAACCCTATCTCCCCAGTCCTTACTTCTCGCACTATTTCATTTTGTGGGCAATTAGAAAAGGTTCCACGTACCAGTAGTGGGTCTATGGACTACAGTATGAGACCAACAGCTCTAGAGAAAATTCTTTATTGGTTGCTTTCCCCTTATCCCATGACCTCCATTAGCAGGGCCGGCTCCAG